TAATAAACAAACAAAAAAACTAGTCCAAAGAATAAAATAACGATTAAATATAAGGAGAGTGAGGAGCGCATAATTGGTCTTAGAGGATGATGAGCAGACGACCGAGCAGAGAGAGAGGCAGAGAGAGAGACCAGAAGAGGAGAGAGGACCAGAATAGAGTGAGTAGAGATGAGACGTGAAGAGCGAGAGGAGAGCAGAGTCGGAGGAGTGCACGGAGAGGAGAGAGTCGTGTTGGATAAGGGACGATGAGAGCACTTGACATGTGATGGGTGTTTTGTGACGGAGAGCAGAGTGAGAAGAAGTTGGATGAATTAGTGGGACGGCAGGCTAGAGTTGAATGCGCCTCCGAGTTCCTTCTCGTCTCTTTTGTGCGAGAGGGTCGGTACGGGACGAGAGAGTAGGGATAGCACTACGCGGGGGAACAAGTGAGCGTAGATCGAGAGACCCCAGGATGGATTTCATTGGCTGAGAGTGAGAGAATGAGCAGAGCAGACGATGGGAGGAGCAGAGGAGGAGAGACGGAAGCAGAGAGAGAGATGAGAGTTGGGAGCGGAGCAGGATAAGGATTTGGGTATTTGCGAGACCTGAGGCAGATGAGAGAGAGCCATGATCGCGACCTGTGTGAGAGGAGAGTAGAGAGAGGGAGAAGCAGGAGAGGTAGATCGAGCCAAGAGAGCGAAGATGCGGGGAGCAGCGAGGAGAGAGAAGAGACGATGTGAGAGATGGCAGAGCAATGAGTACCGGAATCGGCCGCATCACCCCTTGGAGATGAGAGAGCCTCACGAGATTGCGGCCGGACGATGAGAGCAGAAAGAGAGAGATGAGACGCAACCGACAGCGGGCGAGAGATTGATTGGAGAGCAGAAGAGAGGTGGAGTGAACGACAATGAGGAGCAGAGAAAGAGCAGCAGATGAGCATTGCGAGAGAGGTGAGAGCAGAGAGGAAAGGAGAGACTGAGATGAGTGCCATGAGGTGAGCTAGCTAAGATTATCTCGGAGAGAGGACAGATTGAGGAGGTCCGCGAGAGAGACCCCCCAGGATGGGAGATGAGCCAAGAAGAGAGTCGGAGAGCCAAGAGAGAGAGCAGACACCTGTGAGAGAGAGCAGTAAGAAGACCGGAGAGACGGAGAGCAGAATGAGACGAGATAAGCGCCCAAGGTCGAGTAGGAGAGAGAAAGGGGAGAGCAGAGAGGAGAGAGCGCGAGAGAGGGCAGAGGAAAGAGACTCGAGAGCCAGAAGGAGATGTGAGCAGAGAGAGAAGAGAGCAGACGAGAGACGCGCAGAGGAGAGACCTGGAGGTGGCCCAGAGGAGAGGAGAGCAGATTGGGAGGACCGGAATCGGAGGAGAGCAGAGGAGAGAGAGGCAGAGAGAGAGCGAGGTACGGATGAGACCATGAGAGATTGAGACAACCCCAGGACGGAGGAGAGCACGATGACGAGAGAGCAGAGTGAGAGACGGCCCCAGACGGAGAGAGGCAGACGACTGAGCAGATAGAGCAGGTTTCTTCGTGCTCGAGTTGCTCGACCAGTTTTGAGTCTTCGTAGACCGAGAGAGAGAGCGACGAGAGAGGAGGAGCTCCGCGCCGCGCTCCAGCCGCGAGAGACTCTGGGAGAGGAGACAGATGGAGAGCAAGAGAAGGGAGGAGAGTAGAGAGAGCAGAGAGAGAGAGAAGTATTTAGGCTCCCCAGACGAGAGGTTGACGAGTGAGATGTGAGCAGAGAGACAGAGAGAGAGCAGAGAGAGAGAGTGCAGACCTGAGTTCCAGAGAGAGAGCAGCAGAGAGAGAGAGCCCAGAGCGATCGCCCATGGGGAGAGTAGAGCAAAGAGAGAGAGACGAGTGACAGAGGAGAGGGGGCATGTTGGTGAGAGACAGGGTAGAGAGAGCTAGAGAGAGTAGTCAGTTCGAGCAGAGAGCAGAGAGAGAGAGAGCAGAGATTAGAGTGGGAGATGCAGCGGCTGAGAGAGAGAGAGAGAGCAGAGAGAGAGAGAGCAGAGAGAGAGAGCAGAGAGAGAGAGAGCAGAGAGAGAGAGCAGAGAGAGAGAGAGCAGAGAGGAAGAGAGAGGAGAAGAGAGAGAGAGAGCAGAGAGAGAGAGAGAGCAGAGAGAGAGAGCAGAGAGAGAGAGCAGCAGAGAGAGAGCAGAGAGAGAGAGCAGAGAGAGAGAGAGAGAGAGCAGAGAGAGAGAGAGAGAGAGAGCAGAGAGAGAGAGAGAGAGAGAGAGAGACCAGAGAGAGAGAGCAGAGAGAGAGAGAGAGCAGAGAGAGAGAGAGCAGAGAGAGAGAGAGCAGAGAGAGAGAGCAGAGAGAGAGAGAGCAGAGAGAGAGAGAGCAGAGAGAGAGAGCAGAGAGAGAGAGAGAGCAGAGAGAGAGAGAGCAGAGAGAGAGAGCAGAGAGAGAGAGCAGAGAGAGAGAGAGCAGAGAGAGAGAGAGCAGAGAGAGAGAGCAGAGAGAGAGAGCAGAGAGAGAGAGAGCAGAGAGAGAGAGCAGAGAGAGAGAGCAGAGAGGAGAGAAGAGCAGAGAGAGAGAGAGAGCAGAGAGAGAGAGAGAGAGAGAGAGCAGAGAGAGAGAGAGCAGAGAGAGAGAGCAGAGAGAGAGCAGAGAGAGAGAGAGCAGAGAGAGAGAGCAGAGAGCGAGAGACCAGAGAGAGAGAGAGAGAGAGAGCAGAGAGAGAGCAAGAGAGAGAGAGACAGAGAGAGAGCAGGAGAGAGAGAGCAGCAGAGAGAGAGAGAGCAGAGAGAGAGAGAGCAGAGAGAGAGAGCAGAGAGAGAGAGAGCAGAGAGAGAGAGAGCAGAGAGAGAGAGAGCAGAGAGAGAGAGCAGAGAGAGAGAGAGAGAGCAGAGAGAGAGAGGAGAGCAGAGAGAGAGAGAGCAGAGAGAGAGAGAGAGAGAGAGAGCAGAGAGAGAGAGCAGAGAGAGAGAGAGAGAGAGAGAGAGCAGAGAGAGAGAGAGCAGAGAGAGAGAGAGCAGAGAGAGAGAGCAGCAGAGAGAGAGAGAGCAGAGAGAGAGAGCAGAGAGAGAGAGCAGAGAGAGAGAGAGGAGAGAGAGAGAGAGAGAGAGAGAGAGCAGAAGAGAGAGAGAGAGCAGAGAGAGAGAGAGCAGAGAGAGAGAGAGCAGAGAGAGAGAGCAGAGAGAGAGAGAGAGCAGAGAGAGAGAGCAGAGAGAGAGAGCAGAGAGAGAGAGCAGAGAGAGAGAGAGCAGAGAGAGAGAGCAGAGAGAGAGAGAGCAGAGAGAGAGAGCAGAGAGAGAGAGAGAGCAGAGAGAGAGAGAGCAGAGAGAGAGAGAGCAGAGAGAGAGAGCAGAGAGAGAGAGAGAGCAGAGAGAGAGAGAGCAGAGAGAGAGAGCAGAGAGAGAGAGCAGAGAGAGAGAGCAGAGAGAGAGAGAGAGAGAGAGAGCAGAGAGAGAGCAGAGAGAGAGAGCAGAGAGAGAGAGAGAGCAGAGAGAGCAGAGAGAGAGCCAGAGAGAGAGACAGAGAGAGAGCAGAGAGAGAGACCAGAGAGAGACCAGAGAGAGAGACCAGAGAGAGAGCAGAGAGAGACCAGAGAGAGAGACCAGAGAGAGAGCAGAGAGAGAGACCAGAGAGAGACCAGAGAGAGAGACCAGAGAGAGACCAGAGAGAGACCAGAGAGAGACCAGAGAGAGAGACCAGAGAGAGACCAGAGAGAGAGACCAGAGAGAGACCAGAGAGAGAGACCAGAGAGAGACCAGAGAGAGAGACCAGAGAGAGACCAGAGAGAGACCAGAGAGAGACCAGAGAGAGAGCAGAGAGAGAGACCAGAGAGAGACCAGAGAGAGACCAGAGAGAGAGCAGAGAGAGAGCTGGAGTCCAACAGTCCTGTCTCAGAGGTACATCCTTCTCCCTGTGGCTCACTGTGTTTGAACTGTCTGATTCTCTGATCTGCTGTTGGTGAATCGACAGCTTCTCCCTCCCCCTCTGCCTCCCCCTCTGCCTCTCTCCCTCCCCCTCTGCCTCCCCCTCTGCCCCCTCTGCCTCTCTCCCTCCCCCTCTGCCTCCCCCTCTGCCCCCTCTCTCTCTCCCTCCCCCTCTGCCCCCTCTCCCTCCCCCTCTGCCTCTCTCCCTCCCCCTCTGCCCCCTCTGCCTCCCCCTCTGCCCCCTCTGCCTCCCCCTCTGCCCCCTCTGCCTCTCTCCCTCCCCTCTGCCTCCCCTTCCCCCTCCCCCTCTGCCCCCTCTCCCTCCCCCTCTGCCTCTGCCCCCTCTCCCTCCCCTCCCCCTCTGCCCCTCTCCCTCCCCCTCTCCCTCTGCCCCCTCCCCTGCCCCCTCCCCTCTGCCCCTCTCCCTCTGCCCCCTCCCCCTGCCCCCTCTCCCTCCCCCCCCTGCCTCTCTCCCTCCCCCTCTGCCCCCTCTGCCTCCCCCTCTGCCCCCTCTGCCTCTCTCCCTCCCCTCTGCCTCCCCCTCCCCACCCCCTCTGCCCCCTCTCCCTCCCCCCTCTGCCTCTGCCCCCTCTCCCTCCCCCTCCCCTCCCTGCCCCCTCTGCCTCCCCCTCTGCCCCTCTCTCTGCCCCCCCCCCTCTGCCCCCTCTCCCTCCCCCTCTCCCTCTGCCCCCTCTCCCTCCCCCTCTCCCTCTGCCCCCTCTCCCTCCCCCTCTCCCTCTGCCCCCTCCCCTGCCCCTCCCCCTCTGCCCCCCCTCCCCCTCTGCCCCCTCCCCCTGCACTGGGCTGATGTTCTTTATGCAACACTTCACGTTCCACTCGAGTCTTTGTGAATGATGCATATTTTCCACTCGTTCATAATCAGTCAAACTATCAATCTCTAGATCTGCTCCCTCAGACTGTTGCATCAGCAGGTACACAACAGTAGAATGAGGTACACAACAGTAGAATGAGGTACACAACAGATACATGAACAATAACTCTGTACTAACATAACATCTCTAACTTTAGTCAAATAAATAAGTATAACATTTGTATTTTCTGGATGCTTCAACGGCTCGCTGCAGAAATACAGGTAAAGAAATGTAAAATTGTTCCAAAAACCGTTGTGTTTTAGCGGTAGGGGAAACCGGAGCACCTGGAGGAAACCTACGCAGACACAGGGAATCCAGGTCTAAGAATAATCACTGACTCTTTTGGTCCCTGGAAAAGCCATGTTCCAGCTTCTTCCCTCTGGCAGAAGATGGCTGTAGGACATCTGGATATGCTAATGTGCTAACGTGCTAACATGCTAACATGCTATCATACTAACGTGCTAACAGCTCCTTTCAGCTGCTCTCAGTCTGAACAAAGACCTTTAATGAACTTGTATTGAAGCTGTTTTTGTTTCTGTACTTTTTGTCTGGTTTTACTCCTGTACTTGTACCTGTGCACACTGGGGACTCTCGTACGTGGATTCCAATGTGGTTTTACTGCAAATGACAAATAATCTGAATCTGGTTTTACAATAAACAGTTTTCAGATCAGTCACATACAGATAAAACAGTCTCCATGTGTGTATGTGTGTGTCTGTGTGTGTGTGTCTGTATCTGTATCTGTATCTGCGTGTGTGTATGTGTGTATGTGTGTCTGTATGTGTGTATCTGTATCTGTATGTGTGTATCTGTGTGTGTGTATGTATGTCTGTATGTGTGTTTCTGTATCTGTGTTTGTGTGCGTGTGTCTGTATGTGTGTATCTGTGTGTGTGTATGTGTGTCTGTATGTGTGTTTCTGTGTGTGTGTATGTGTGTCTGTATGTGTGTTTCTGTATCTGTGTGTGTGTATCTGTATCTGTATGTGTGTATCTGTGTCTGTATGTGTGTATCTGTGTCTGTATGTGTGTATCTGTGTGTGTGTATCTGTGTCTGTTTGTGTGTATCTGTGTCTGTATGTGTGTATCTGTGTCTGTTTGTGTGTATCTGTGTCTGTTTGTGTGTGTCTGTATCTGTATGTGTGTTTCTGTATCTGTATGTGTGTATCTGTGTCTGTATGTGTGTATCTGTATCTGTGTGTGTGTGTCTGTTTGTGTGTATCTGTGTCTGTTTGTGTGTATCTGTTTGTGTGTATCTGTGTCTGTTTGTGTGTATCTGTGTCTGTTTGTGTGTGTATCTCATACCAACAGAATGATGCATGAAGCACCTACGCCAGGGTCCTGTTCGTGGACTTCAGCTCTGCCTTCAACACAATCCTGCCATCCCTGCTCCAGGACTAGCTCTCCCTGCTCCAGGACTAGCTCTCCCTGCTCCAGGACTAGCTCTCCCTGCTCCAGGACTAGCTCTCCCTGCTCCAGGACTAGCTCTCCCTGCTCCAGGACAAGCTCTCCCAGCTCCAGGACTAGCTCTCCCTGCTCCAGGACTAGCTCTCCCTGCTCCAGGACTAGCTCTCCCTGCTCCAGGACTAGCTCTCCCTGCTCCAGGACTAGCTCTCCCTGCTCCAGGACTAGCTCTCCCTGCTCCAGGACTAGCTCTCCCTGCTCCAGGACTAGCTCTCCCTGCCCCAGGACTAGCTCTCCCTGCTCCAGGACTAGCTCTCCCTGCTCCAGGACTAGCTCTCCCTGCTCCAGGACTAGCTCTCCCAGCTCCAGGACAAGCTCTCCCTGCTCCAGGACAAGCTCTCCCAGCTCCAGGACTAGCTCTCCCTGCTCCAGGACTAGCTCTCCCTGCTCCAGGACTAGCTCTCCCTGCTCCAGGACTAGCTCTCCCTGCTCCAGGACTAGCTCTCCCTGCTCCAGGACTAGCTCTCCCAGCTCCAGGACAAGCTCTCCCAGCTCCAGGACAAGCTCTCCCTGCTCCAGGACAAGCTCTCCCAGCTCCAGGACTAGCTCTCCCTGCTCCAGGACTAGCTCTCCCTGCTCCAGGACTAGCTCTCCCTGCTCCAGGACTAGCTCTCCCTGCTCCAGGACTAGCTCTCCCTGCTCCAGGACAAGCTCTCCCAGCTCCAGGACTAGCTCTCCCTGCTCCAGGACTAGCTCTCCCTGCTCCAGGACTAGCTCTCCCTGCTCCAGGACTAGCTCTCCCTGCTCCAGGACTAGCTCTCCCTGCTCCAGGACAAGCTCTCCCAGCTCCAGGACTAGCTCTCCCTGCTCCAGGACAAGCTCTCCCAGCTCCAGGACAAGCTCTCCCTGCTCCAGGACAAGCTCTCCCTGCTCCAGGACAAGCTCTCCCTGCTCCAGGACAAGCTCTCCCTGCTCCAGGACTAGCTCTCCCTGCTCCAGGACAAGCTCTCCCAGCTCCAGGACTAGCTCTCCCTGCTCCAGGACTAGCTCTCCCTGCTCCAGGACTAGCTCTCCCTGCTCCAGGACTAGCTCTCCCTGCTCCAGGACTAGCTCTCCCTGCTCCAGGACTAGCTCTCCCTGCTCCAGGACAAGCTCTCCCAGCTCCAGGACTAGCTCTCCCTGCTCCAGGACTAGCTCTCCCTGCTCCAGGACAAGCTCTCCCAGCTCAACGTGCCCGATTCCACCTGCAGGTGGATCACTGACTTCCTGACGGACAGGAAGCAGCGAGTGCGTCTGGGGAAGAATGTCTAGGACTCTCGGATTATAAATACAGGAGCCCCACAGGGCTGTGTTCTTTCTCCCCTGCTCTTCTCCCTGTACACCAACCACTGCACCTCCTCCTACTGCACTTCCTACTGCACCTCCAACCACTGCACCTCCAGCCACGACTCCGTGAAGCTGATCAAGTTCACGGACGACACCACCCTCATTGGAATCATCTCCAACAACGATGAGTCCGCCTACAGGAGGGAGGTGGACCGGCTGGTGTCCTGGTGTCTCCTACAGGAGGGAGGTGGACCGGCTGGTGTCCTGGTGTCTCCTACAGGAGAGAGGTGGACCGGCTGGTGTCCTGGTGTCTCCTACAGGAGGGAGGTGGACCGGCTGGTGTCCTGGTGTCTCCTACAGGAGGGAGGTGGACCGGCTGGTGTCCTGGTGTCTCCTACAGGAGGGAGGTGGACCGGCTGGTGTCCTGGTGCAGTGGTAACAACCTGTAGCTGAACGCCCAGAAGACAGTGGAGATGATTGTGGACTTCAGGAAGAGCACTGTCCCCCCGCCCCCACCCTCCGTGATGGACTCCCCCATCACCTCTGTGGAGTCCTTCCGTTTCCTGGGCACCACCATCACCCAGGACCTCAAGTGGGAGCCGACCATCAGCTCCTCATCAAGAAGGCCCAGCAGAGGATGTACTTCCTGCGGCAGCTCAGGAAAGCCAAGCTGCCTGCACAGATGTTGACCTCCTCCATCACCTCCTCCAGCACCTCCTCCATCACCTCCTCATCATCTCCTCCATCACCTCCTCCATCAACTCCTCATCACCTCCTCCATCACCTCCTCCATCACCTCCTCATCACCTCCTCCATCACCTCCTCCATCACCTCCTCTATCAGCTCCTCCATCACCTCCTCGTCACCTCCTCCATCACCTCCTCATCACCTCCTCCATCACCTCCTCCATCACCTCCTCATCACCTCCTCCGTCACCTCCTCCGTCACCTCCTCCGTCACCTCCTCCATCACCTCCGTCCTCACCTCCTCAATCACCTCCTCCATCACCTCCTCCATCACCTCCACCATCACCTCCTCATCACCTCCTCCATCACCTCCTCCATCACCTCCTCATCACCTCCTCCATCACCTCCTCCATCACCTCCTCCATCACCTCCTCATCACCTCCTCCATCACCTCCTCTATCAACTCCTCCATCACCTCCTCGTCACCTCCTCCATCACCTCCTTCATCACCTCCTCATCACCTCCTCCATCACCTCCTCCATCACCTCCTCCATGACCTCCTCCATCACCTCCTCATCACCTCCTCCGTCACCTCCTCCATCACCTCCTCCGTCACCTCCTCCGTCACCTCCTCCATCACCTCCGTCCTCACCTCCTCCATCATCCTCCTCCTCCACTCACCTCACTCATCACCTCCTCCATCACCTCCTCCATCACCTCCTCCTCCTCCATCACCTCCTCCATCACCTCCTCCATCACCTCCTCCATCACCTCCTCCATCACCTCCTCATCACCTCCTCCCTCCATCACCTCCTCATCACCTCCTCCATCACCTCCTCCATCACCTCCACCATCACCTCCTCATCACCTCCTCCATCACCTCCTCCATCACCTCCACCATCGCCTCCTCCATCACCTCCTCCATCACCTCCTCCATCACCTCCTCATCACCTCCTCATCACCTCCTCCATCACCTCCTCCATCACCTCCTCCATCACCGTGTGGTTCGCTGGAGCCACAGTCAGGGACAAACAGAGACTACAGTGCATTGTGCGCTCTGCAGAGGAAGTGATCGGCCGCAGCCTTCCATCGCTGCAGGACCTGTACGTCGCCCGAGCTCGAGGCCGGGCTGGTCGTATCACAGCCGACCCCTCTCACCTGCACATGGACTATTCCAACCACTCCCCTCTCACCTGCACATGGACTATTCCAACCACTCCCCTCTCACCTGCACATGGACTATTCCAACCACTCCCCTCTCACCTGCACATGGACTATTCCAACCACTCCCCTCTCACCTGCACATGGACTATTCCAACCACTCCCCTCTCACCTGCACATGGACTATTCCAACCACTCCCCTCTCACCCTGCACATGGACTATTCCAACCACTCCCCTCTCACCCTGCACATGGACTATTCCAACCACTCCCCTCAGGCAGGAGGCTGCGGTCCATCAGGACTAGAACCTCCCGTCACAAGAACAGTTTCTTGCCCTCTTGCTATGCTAAAGGCTCATGCTAAAGGCTCATGCTAAAGGCTAATGCTAAAGGCTCATGCTAAAGGCTCATGTTGAATGTTAGTAATTTGCATTAACATGAATGGAGCAGTCAAAATGACTGCTGAAGAAGCTACAGGAAGAACTCCTCACATTTCAGAAATTCCAGATCCTTTCAGAAAAACAGTGACATATAAATAACAGTGACAGTTTTACTGTTGAAAACAAAGTGATGATGAAACCGCAGCCTCAGAGAGAGAGAGAGAGAGACAGAGAGAGAGAGAGAGAGACAGAGTGAGAGAGAGAGAGAGAGAGATTATGACACATCAGGGTGAATCATCAGGACTAAGGACACAGAAGGATTTAACGACAGAAGAAGAGACTGAAGGAAATGTTTATTTATTTAGCACGGTTCATTTAGCACGGTTCATGACTGTTTTTACCTAATCCAATCCAATCCACTTTATTTATATAGCACATTTAAACAACAGTTACGTTTCCAAAGTGCTGCACAAAAAAGTATAAAATAAATAACAACTTATCCTTAGCTTCACCAAGTATACAAGAATAAAAAAATATAAAACAGATTAAAACCATAAATAGAAATAAAATAAAAACACAGAGGACCACACAACTCACACAGTGTTAAAAGCCAAAGAGTAAAAGTGGGTCTTAAGACGAGACTTAAAACACTCTACTGTGGGGGCCGTCCGGACATGGAGGGGAAGAGCGTTCCAGAGCTTAGGGCCGACCACAGAGAAGGCTCTGTCCCCCCGGGTTTTAAGTCTCGCGTTAGGGACCACGAGCTGGAGCTGGCTCTCGGACCTCAGGGCGCGCGCAGGAGTGTACATTTGGATGAGGTCCGAGATGTAATCAGGGCCTGTCCATGCAAAGATTTAAAAACAAACAGTAACATTTTAAAATAAATTCTAAAATGAACAGGGAGCCAGTGCAAAGACGCGAGTACAGGGGTGATGTGTTCGCGCTTTCTGGCCCCCGTTAAAAGTTGTGCTGCTGCGTTCTAGACCAACTGCAACCGAGGGTTTTCTGATTGACACCAGCATAAAGTGCGTTGCAGTGGTCCAGACGACTGGAAATAAAAGCATGCACAACCTGTTCTAACAAGTTAAAAGATAAGAATGGCTTCACTTTTGATAAAAGCCGAAGATGATAAAAACACGATTTTAAAACGCCATTAACTTGTTTGTCAAATTTAAAATCACTGTCTATAGTCACGCCAAGGCTGGTGACTTTGGAACGCACATAATTTCCTAGTGGTCCCAAGTCAGTAAGGGCCGGTCCAAATGTTAAAATTTCCGTTTTTCCCTCATTCATTACTAAAAAATTCTGGGCTAACCAAGCCTTGACTTCACATAGACAGTTGAGCAGGGGCGTCAGGGGGGCATGGCCTCTCGAAATTGGCATATAAATTTGGCAGTCATCTGCATAAAAGTGATAGGACACTCCGTGTCTGTTAAAAATCTCCCCAAGTGGGAGGAGATAGAGTGCAAAAAGGATAGGTCCCAAGATAGATCCTTGAGGGACACCACAATAAAGTGAGGCAGAAGAAGATGTGGCATCCCCCAGCCTGCCTGAGAAAGACCTCTCCGACAGGTAGGACCTGAACCACTCCAAAGCAGTCCCCCTGACGCCCACACAATCTCTCAGGCGGTCTAAAAGAATTGTGTGGTCAACAGTGTCAAAAGCAGCAGTAAGATCTAAAAGCACTAAAATGGTGGAGCCTCCAGAATCAGTCAATAAAAGCAAATCATTAAAAACCTTTAAAAGTGCAGATTCAGTACTGTGCAAAGCCGTATATCCAGACTGAAATGGGTCTAAAGTGCTGTTTTCATTTAAAAAAGGTTGCAGTTGTGCCAAAACACATTTCTCCAATATTTTTGAAACAAAGGGTAGTTTTGAAATGGGGCGATAATTTGATAAAACCATGGGATCAAGACCTGCTTTTAAACCTGGGTTTAAACATGGTTGACTCTGATCTGAAATGTGGATAAACACTTGACCATGACGAAGCAGGAATTTTCAAAAGGAAGTTGGGAAAGAGTGATCGGGAAACACTCTCCTGCTGGGACTCTGAGGAGCACAGGGACTGGCCTCCTGCTGGGACTCTGAGGAGCACAGGGACTGGCCTCCTGCTGGGACTCTGAGGAGCACAGGGACTGGCCTCCTGCTGGGACTCTGAGGAGCACAGGGACTGTAAACTGAGGCCTCTAACTTCTCTCTGCTCAAACTCTTTGTCTGTAGTTCTTCACCTTCAGGTTATTTTCTCTGAAGTAAAATCCAAAACAATCTTTCCTCTCGTCGCCGTGACAACAGCTGCTTCTGATTCTCTTTAAGAATGGATCAAAGTCATAAACGCAGCACATGCCACAGAGTCTCCTCCGTCATAAACACAGATATTTTTAGCCTTTTTCAGGTTCACAGACGTCAGACTCTGCAGGAGACCTGAGACCGAGACCTGAGACAGAGACCTGAGACCGAGACCTGAGACAGAGACCTGAGACAGAGACCTGAGACAGAGACCTGAGACAGAGACCTGAGACAGAGAGCTGAGACCGAGACCTGAGACCGAGACCTGAGACAGAGACCTGAGACAGAGACCTGAGACAGAGACCTGAGACCGAGACCTGAGACAGAGACCTGAGACAGAGACCTGAGACAGAGACCTGAGACCGAGACCTGAGACAGAGACCTGAGACCGAGACCTGAGACAGAGACCTGAGACAGAGACCTGAGACAGAGACCTGAGACAGAGACCTGAGACCGAGACCTGAGACCGAGACCTGAGACAGAGACCTGAGACAGAGACCTGAGACAGAGACCTAAGACAGAGACCTGAGACAGAGACCTGAGACCTGAGACCCTGAGACAGAGACCTGAGACAGAGACCTGAGACAGAGACCTGAGACAGAGACCTGAGACAGAGAGCTGAGACCGAGACCTGAGACCGAGACCTGAGACA